CCAGCAGATTTTAGGAAAAAGAAAGGGTTAGCAGTATATGTGAAAGACAATATGAAAGCAGAGCCAATTTGGATAGACCCCAATGGAAGAATTCTGGTGTTACAAATTTGGTTTAAATCAATTCCAATTCTACTAGTGGTAATCTATGCTCCTAACGATAACCAAAAGGAATTTTTTAAACAATTACATGGGAAATTAGTGGAATTAGATAAAAGGAATATTTGCATCTTGGGGGATTTCAATGCTATTGTGGACCACCAAAAAGATCATAGGGGCGGGGGGGGGGGAGAAGAAAAAAAGAGAACTACCGAAAACATGTGAGGAAATGATGATTGAACTAAATTTGATAGACATGTGGAGGAAATTAAACCCTGAGAAAAAGCAATTTACATTTTACTCCAACCCTCACCAATCATGGACACGAATCGATATGGTGTGGATGAATGGTGAATTAGTAAATGAATTAAAAGAGATTGAAATTTTACCAAACGAATGGGCAGATCACAACCCGATTCCAATAGTGTGGAAAGGCAGGAAGAAACCAAGGAAAAGGTGGACCTTAAATACACAGTTAATTAAAGAGAAAGAATTTATGAATAAACTTGACGAGGAATTAGACTATTTTTTAAAAGAAAATAATAATGAGGCAACTACGAAACAGAATATTTGGGATACAATGAAGGCAATAATAAGAAGCACAACGATATCATACACTGCTAAAAGAAATAAAAATATGCCCAACAAAATAAATTAGAACAAAGAATCAAAGAATTAGAAATTCAGTTGCAAAACACCCCAAAAGATTGCAAATTGAAAAAACTGATGATGATAATTAAACATAAATTAAATTTAATTGAACAAGAAGGAATGGTTTCAAAGTTAAATACAGCCAGACAGGCCATTTTTTGAACAGGCCAATAAACCAGGAAGGTGGTTGGCCTATAAACTTAAAAAAGAAAAAGAAAAAAGATTGATCTACCAGTTAATAGATGAGAACGGGGATGCCCAACAAGGGATAGAACAGAAAAAAGAAATTGCATGTAAATTTTTTGAAGATCTTTATAAAAAGAAGGAGGTAGATGAGGATATGATAAGAAACTTTGGGTATTACTAAAGATAAAATAATCAAGGAAGAGATGAAGGAAATGTTAATTAGAGATATTACGTGGCCTGAGTTAAAAGCAGCAATAGAAAACCAAAAGAACAATAAAACCCCAGGACCTGATGGGATACCAGGGGAACTTTATAAAAAAATAGGAGAACAAATAAGGCCTCTCATGGTGGAAGTATATAATGAGGTCCTACTAGCAGTAAGAATGCCGGATTCATGGAAGGAGACACTGATATTGTTGATTCCGAAAGAAGATTCAGATTTACAGCATATACGAAATTATAGACCAACTTCCCTGTTAAATACTGATTATAAAATATTTACCACAATTATAGCAGATAGATTGAAAAAAATATTGAATGAATATATACATAAAGATCAAAATGGATTTCTTCCTAATGGACAAATTAGGAACAATTTAAGAATAGTATTAAATGTTTTGGAATACTATGAAGCCCATCCGGAAAAACAAATAGCCCTTGTATTCCTGGATGCACAGAACGCCTTCGACAATTTAAATTGGCAATTCTTAATTCAACAAATTTACAATATGAATCTAGGCACTAAATTTGAAAACATTGTGACTACAATTTATGATTCATAAAAGGCAAATATTATAATTAATGGAGAATATATGCGCTCAATAAAAATAGAGAAAGGAGTCAGGCAGGGATGTCCATTATCCCCCCTGCTCTTCATATTATCTTTGGAAACATTGCTTACATGAATTAGACAGAACCCAGGAATAAAAAGACTAAAAATTTAAAAAGAATATGAACTCCAGTCATTTGCAGATGATATGGTATTTTTCATAGAGGAACCAATTTAAACAGGTCAAGAATTACTGAAAGAGTTAGATCAATTTGGGGAAGTTGCAGGACTTAAAATTAATAGGGAAAAAAATGAAGTTAATAACTAAAAATTTAACAGAAAAACAAAAACTAAAATTGGAAAGGATAATGGGGTTACAAATAGTAAAAAAAGTTAAATACTTAGGAATTTGGTTGATGGTTCAATGCAAAACTCTAATGGAAAATAATTATAATTATTACAGCAAGTCAAAAAAGATTTAGAGATGGTTAAATTGCAAATCTCCTTATTAGGGAGGATTGCCACTATAAAAATGAATATTCTGCCCAAATTTATTTATTTATTCCAAACAATACCAATAAAAATACATAAAAATTACTTTGTGGAACTTAACAAGATAATCACCAAATTTATCTGGCAAGGGAAAAAACCGAGGATAAGCCTAAAGGCAGTGAAAGATACGAAGAGCAGGGGAGGTATGGAACTCCCAAATTGGGAATTATTGCAGCCTCCTTACTCTGGTTGAAAGAGTGGGTAAATCTGTCGAATAAAAGGATCTTATTTTTAGAAGGCCATGATTTACAGAGGGGATGGCACACATTTTTATGGGACACTGGGAAAATTAAGCAGAAGTATTTCCACAGACATATAATTAGAGATTCCTTATTGGCTAATTGGAACAAAATTAAAAAAAAACATTCAAAAATCCCAATCTGGATCTCAACGATGGAGGTGATGATACATCCAAATAACTTAGATCTTAATAAAATGATAAAATACAAAGACCTCCTTAATGTGCAAGGAACTTTAAAATCATGGCAAGATCTCCAAGAACAAGGGCTACAAGTAGACCGGTGGGCTCACTTGCAAATTCAAAATAGATATAGCCAGGACAAGAAAAATTTTGGAATTTATACTAAGGCACAATAATTAGATAAAATTCTATTAGGTCCAGATAAAAAAATATATAACTAAATTTTATAATTATTAGAGATGGAATTAGAAGAGGAAGTAGTCAAAGGCAACATGATAGCTTGGAGCAGAAACATAAGACGTAGCATTACATTATTAGAATGGGAAAAGGTTTGGACAAGGAATAATAAAATTACAAAATCAGCAGCATATAAAGAAAATGCCTATAAAATGTTTATTATAGATGGCAGCTCTCACCCTCGAGAATAGCGAAAATGTCTCCTAATTCAGATATGAATCTGAATTGCTGGAAATGTAAAAAGAAACAGGGAACATTCTTTCATATGTGGTGGTCCTGCACTGAAGCCCAAAGATACTGGCATAGAATAAAAAAATGGTTAGAGGAAATAAGGGCGGAGCAAATTGAATTAAAACCAGAATTCTTCCTATTGGGGGTATTTAATAGACAAATTTCTAAAAATGTCAAATATATAATACTGCATATTCTTACTGCATCCAGAATAACCTTTGCACAGTGTTGGAAACAAGTAGATATTCCAACAAAGGAAATGGTTATTCAGAAGATAACAGCCTGTGCAGATGGACAAGTTAACCTTAGCACTTAAGGAAAAAGAAACATCAGAATATTATAGAAACTGGGAATGTTGGTATGACTGGATAGAACAAAAATCGAAAATATATTAGTAAACAACGTAAAATGTAAAAGAGGTAGTAATTACATATTCGCAACAAGATGTATTTGTAAATTTATCACCAATATTGATAACAAACGGAACCATAGACTGTCGATAGTAGAATTGTTAGTTTTTAATCATTTTCTTTTTTCCTATTTCTTTTTTCTTCTGTGTGTTGTGTATGTGTTTGTTTGATATTTTAGTTTTATAATCAATAAAGTTTTTTTTTTAAAAAAAGAAATAAATATATGCCTAATGTTATCGACCATTTACAGGTTTATTCCTGTGAGTAGCTGTCGTAGCCCAGTCTCCCCAGTACACTGCTTTGCGTGGGACCCATAATGCTGTTAAGATGGCCCTGCCAATTGCCCCTGGAGCCTGAGTGAGGTAGCAGCAGGCGGACAGTCTCAATTCTGGTGCAGAAATTTCCTACATGGAAGTGGTCTGTTCAGATGGCCAGCCCCACCCCTGCTCGTATATAAGCATCCAAAAGAACAACAGGTAGATTCACCTGAGTCCAGGTTGTGCTTCAGACTTCTTGGCTTCAAAAAGGGGAGAAGTTGAGAGCTGTAAGAAGCAGGCTAAGCACCTTACCAAACAGAGCAGAGAGCAATGGCCAGGTATGATATGATCATCAGATACAACAAACATTGTTTAGCAAATGTCTGTAGAGATTCTCAATCATCCAGGTCATGGGTGTACCAAAGGTGTTTTTTTCAGGAGGCAACTGGGCTTTCTTGTTTTTTCTTTGAAGCCATTTTGCTTCTCATCCAAGATTTCAGCTCTAACAGGATGGTGGGGAATGGAAGGATTTTGTATTCCTTGCAGATAGTTGGTCATTTGCATCCTTTGAGAAGGTTGTTGAGGCCACTTGGAGGTTTATCTGTGTCCTCAGGGTCACCTGAGTGGTGCTCCTGGTTCCTGTAGTCTGCAATTTATTTTTCCTCTGGAAATCCATTCCTCCTCCCATACCATTCAAAGGATGTTTATTCCAAATTGTATAGCTAATTATAGCTAATATATATACAATTTGGGATTGGCACCATTGGAACGGTGTGGGAATAGTAATGGATTTCCAGAGGAAAAAATGCAGATTAGACTAGAGGAACCATTTGCACTACTCAGGTGACCCTGAGGATACAGATAAACCTCCAAGTGTCCTGAACGACTCTGTAAAAGGATGCAAATGACCAGCTGTCTGCAAGGAGTATAAATCCTTCCCTTCCCCTCCATCAAGTCAGATCTGAAGAAGCTCTGAGAAGCAAAATGTCTTTAAAAGAAAAAGAAAGTCCAATTGCCTCCTGAAAAAGGCACCTTGCATTTTGCGCTGGCCGAACGTTCCCCTTTTTCTAAAGCAGGGGTCTTCAACCATGGCAACTTTACGACTTGTGGACTTCAACTCCAAGAATTCCTCAGCCAGTGTGCGCTGGCTGAGGAATTCTGGGAGTTGAAGTCCATAAGTCATAAAGTTGCCAAGGTTGGAGAGCCCTGTTCCAAAACATCTCTCAGAGCAGAAGAATAAGTGTTGATTAAGGCACTGCAGACACAATGGTGTTAATGATGGGGCCAGTCCTCGGAAGGAAACCGTGTCTTTCCGCAACCTGGTGTGTTTAACTCTGGCCTGCAAAGGTAAAAGAGAAGCATTGTAACTTAGGACACTATTCCTTTAATAGATTTATACGCAACTGGTACTTCAGAAGCCAACCTGAGGCCTTACCATTCGAATCACTTAAGAACAAAGCAGACCTGCTCAACTTTTGAGCTGAGCCAAGCACACTGTTGATTGAGAGCCCAGTAATTCAGAACTGGATAGGCTGCAAAATTCAGGCATACCAAACAGTGCCCATGGTGCTGCTTTTAGCTGCATCTGCAGGCCTGGACAAGGTCCCTTCATCCTTCACTCCAAGGGCCAAGTCCTCCCTCACACGCAGCAGCAAAGAGTTGAGCAGTCCAGTTTTGCAGGGGCTGCCCCGTTGCCCGTTTTCTTGTTCACTTTGGGCAGGAGGAGGACAAACGACATGGCCAGAGCACAGTGATAGAAGCTATGCACGTAGGTGTAATCCCAGTCCTAGGAAAAGGCAGAGTTGGTCTCATCAGCATCAACAGCCTCTCCTGCAGGAGCTGCAATGGCTGCCAATTTGCTTCCAGGGCAATTCAAGGTGTTGTTTATCCCCTTTAAAGCCCTCCATGGCTTGGGACTGGGTGATCTGAGGGAACATCTCTTGCCGGTCACATCCACCCAACCCACCAGAGAGAAGAGGCAAGGAATGCTGCAGGTCCCATCCCCAAGGGAGGTGCACCTGGTGGGATCCAGAAGAAGGGCCTTCTCTGTGGTGGCTCCCTCTCTCTGGAGCATCATTCCCCCAGGGATTAGAACAGCCCCCATTCTGGTTTTCTTATGGAAGGTGCTGAAGACCTGGTTCTGCCAGCAGACCTGGGGAACCCAGAGGGGGAGGGAGCCCATCAAAGGGCACGGGTGATAGTCTGTCGCCAGGGCGGGGGGGGTGGGAGTTGGGTGATTTTGTTATATTGTAGTATATTAATTTATTTGATTCTTTTTTATTAGTTTTATTGTTTTAAATGAGGTTTTATATTCCGTAAGCCACCTTGAATCGCCATGGGTGAATAGGCAGCAATATAAATTCAATAAATAAATAGACAAAGCTACATCTGGATGCTGCATCTTATTCTCTGTATTCTGGATCTCTTCTGCATTTGTGGAGTGAAAGAAAAAAGCCTCATCCAACCCCCAAAAATCCATATGCAGAAAGTATTTAACCCGTGGTGGGATTCAAATAATTTAACAACCAGTTCCCTACCTGACTGGGTAGGCGTGGCTGGGTGGTCATGTGACTGGGTGGGTGTGGCCAACTCAATGTCATGTCGAGCGGCACCTCATCTCGCCCGGCCTCTCCTTGCCACGCCCAGCCTGGCCCCGCCTCGCCCCTCCCCTCCCAGCCCCACTTTGTCACGTTCGGCCGCTCACCTCTAGTGAGGTGAGATAAGAATGCTCACCTTGTGCAAATAAATAACAAACATCTTGACTTCAGGTTTGATGAATCTTGCAAAGTATTACCTCTCCTTCTAGTTTCCTTTCCTACTAACAGGTCCATCTCAGATTGTAATTTGCTACCACCTCTCTTGTCTTTTGCATCATTCTATGGGAGATTATTCTAAAGCGCTATCTATGATGTTTGCAGTTGGTTTCCTCCAATCCTGTTTTCCGTGAAATTCGCATAAATAATTTTGACATGCCTTTTCCCCCTTTAAAACAAAGTAGTGGTTTTAAGGGGCTGGCCTAGGAACCAAAAGACTCTTTGCTTCAGCCAGCAGCCTCCAGCTGTCTGCTGGTTGTGCTTGCTCTGAGCTGTTTTTCCTCTTGCATTTTGACTGGACAACCTTACCTCAAAGAAAAACCTCAGCATCAAAGCCAAGGCCCCAAAGCAGAAGCCGGGCCCAACCTGCTGCGTGTAGATGCTCTTATCTGGATACAGCCCTTTCTTCTCCTTCATCATTTGCAGCTGGAGAGAGATGGGAGATGACAGAGATTGGACTTTCTCCAATCACTGTTTAATTTTAAAACCTAGTCATGCAGGAAGAATTCCATCACACAGTTTTGCTTTTGTAGGGACATATTTTGAATCCTTCCAAATCCTATTGGAATATAGGTTACACTTGTCTAGCTGAAATGAGTTCAGTGGGATTGCCAAGTTAGGACCTTTTCTTGCCTGCTAAGAAAGTTCAGTTTCCGTTCGATTTTGCTAGGGATGGGACTGGGGTGGCGGTTCTTAATTTATGATGTCCTCAAGTTGGAGGGGGGGAGCACAAGGCCACACTGCTCTTTGCAGCCCCCCCAAAACATCCTGGACATTCTGGGGTCCCACTTGAAGACCTTCGAAGAAGGAATTATAGTTCCAGGCTCAAATTGCCCTTTTTGTTAGAAAATTCCTTCCACCTCTCCCAACAGAATCTGCTTCCTATCCTCTAAATCCATTATCCTGGAAAAGACACTGATGCTGATCATCTTCACTGCATCATTTTTTCAGATAATTGCAGAATTGTAGAAGTTCTACAGAGGAATGGTTGAGTCTGTCATCTGTACCTCTATAACTGCCTGGTTTGGTTCTGCAACCCAATGGACAGACACAAACTTCAGGGAGTAGAAAAAACAACGGCTACCAACCTGCCTTCCATGGAGGACTTGTATCCTGCACGAGTCAAAAAGAGGGCTGTGAAAATATCTACAGACCCCTCACATCCCAGACATAAACTTTCAACTCCTACCCTCAAAACGACTCTATAGAGCACTGCACACCAGAACAACTAGACACAAGGAGAGTTTTATTCCCAAACACCATCACTCTGCTGAACAAATAATTTCCTCAACAGTGTCTAAGTATTTACTAAGTCTGCCCTACTGTTACTATTAATCTTCTCATCATTCCTTATTGCCCATCCCCTCCCACTTGTGACTGTATGACTGTAACTTTGTCTCTTGTATCCTTATGATTTATATTGAGTGTTTCCTAGTATGATTTGATTGCTTATTGTATCCTATGACTATTATTAATGTTGTACCTGATGATTCTTGACTCTTGATGAATGTATCTTTTCTTTTATGTACACTGAGAGGATTAGCACCAAGACAAATTCCTTGTGTGTCCAATCACACTTGGCCAATAAAGAATTCTATTCTATAGAATACCATCATTTCCCCCCCATCCGAGTCTGAAACATCTCCAGGACTCCATTTTCTCTTCACCATGCCTCTGGTGTCCTCTGATTATCATCCTTTTCTTGGTCCCATCAGGATCATTTTGAAATTTATTCCAGTTCTTCTGTGCCTCCCCCCCCCCCCCCCAACAGTAGGATGTGTTCATATTTGGCTGACAGGCCTTTTCCATCTATTGTTGAGGTGGTCATTTTTGCTTCTAATGTGGCCATGATGGGATTCCTTGGAGGAGGCCTCTGGGGGCCTGCAAAAGTTGCTGATGGTACCCAGTCATGACATGAAGCCACAGTTGTAAGAGAACAGCAGTTGGCAGTGACTGGGAGTGCCCTGTCCACGGTCATCCGGAAACTAATCCCTCCCTGAAATTGGGATACTTTTATTCTTAAATTTCTTAAGTTCTTCCCAGTTTTCAGTTGAAGTGACACTTTGTGCCAGACCTTTTTCACTGTGATAAAGATGTGGCCTTACCCATTTGACTGTTATCACGAGAACGGCTGTGCCGATTGGTCCAGAGTAGACACCGTATCCCCACCGGTCATGGTAGATCCTGACAGCTATGGTAAGCACTCCAAACATCACCAAAGTTGATCGTTTGGGTTCATCGAACTCTGCCAGAGCTAATAAAAGGACAAGAATTGAAGGACAACCTCATTTAAAATCCCAACTCTTACCACTTTTAAAGGTTCCCTGGAGCAGTACCTAGTTGACCTGATCTAAGAAAAAGGGCAGGCTTAGACCTGGGTGCTGCTTTGGTAGAGCCAGTAGGAGAAAGGGAGTCCAGAGGGGAAACCTATGATGTGTTCTATGTTCCAATATTTGAGGGGCTGCCCCAGAGAGGAGGAAAGGGTCAAGCTGTTTTCCAAGGCACCTGAAGGCCAGAGAAGGAACAATGGATGGAAACTGAACAAGGAGAGATTCAACCTGGAAGTAAGGAGAAATTTCCTGACAGAACAATCCACCAGTGGAACAGAAGTTTCCTTTGGAAGTTGTGGATCTTCATCACTGGAGGCTTTCAAGAAGAGACTGGACTGCCATCCATCACAAATGGTCCTGCTTGGGCGGGGGGTTGGACTAGATGACTCACAAGGTCCTTTGCAACTTTGTTATTCTGTTGTTATCCTGGAGCTTCAACCCCTGGAGGCTTTCAAGAAGAGAGTGGGCTGCCCTCGGCCAGAAATGGTGTAGGGTCTCCTGCTTGGGTGGGGGGTTGGACTAGATGACCCCTTCCAACTACAAGATCCCTTCCAACTCTGCAAATCTGTTTAAAAAATCCTTCAGGTTTCCTTCATGCCACTCCCTCCCACGCACGCTTAAAAGAAGCAGCCCTTCTGGCTTACCTATCAGTGAGACCCACATGGATAAGGCAGTTCCAAAGATACTGAAGTATTGCAGGAGATCGTACTTCATGAAACAAAGGAAGGTGAGCCCAGGGCCTTCGCAGGCATGGCAGACCTGGTGGGAAAGTGGGGCTTGTTTATTCCCAGGGTTTTTGTGATTTTAAAAAATGGTAATTTAAAAAAGTTGCATCAGAATCCTCTTGTTTGAAAGGCAATTAAGGCCCCCACCCACCCTTTACTCTGTCAGGATATTCCACTGAGTTGGTGCCATTGCAGAAAAGGTCCTCATCATCTGTGGACAAAAGCTATAGCCTCAGAGGACACTGGTCAGTTTTAAGATTCTTTGCAATTTATGTCATTAAAAACTGAAAGCAATTCTTTGAAATGATGAGAGAGGGGGGGAGGGGGAGAGAGAAAATGAGTAAAGGAGGGAGAGGGAGAGCAGGAGGGGGGGAGAAGGAGGGAGGGAGAGAAGGAGAGAAAAAGAGGGAGGGAGGGAAAGAAAGGGAGATAGAGAAATAGGGAGGGAGGGAAAGAAAGAGGGAGAGAGAGGGGGAAGAAAAGGGGGGGAAGAGAGAAGGAATGGTTTCCACAAAAATGTGAAACTTTGACTATGGACGTCCTGGTTGCTTCTCCTGGCACCAAACCCCCCTCTGAAAACTATCCTTGGTATATTGCATTTCCCTTCTAGTGGGTAAAGGATTTTTTTTTTTCAGGCTGTTACACAGCTTGTTTTTTTTTTTTCAGGGCATGAAAGGCAAAGGTTGAACTGGGAGTTGGTTCCAAATATGTGATTGTCTCCAGAATTTAATTACCTGAGTCTGTTACAGCACAAAGAACTAGCCTCGGCCGAGGGGAGGTAATCAAACGTGGGGAAAAGATACAGAGGAAGAAAAGCCCACAGATGTTACCTGCCCTGTTTCTATGCAAGAATACATGAAAACCCCTCCCTCTCCTTTACAAATGCGAATTGGGTTGCTAAAGGGGTTGCTTAGGGAAGGAGGACTTACCAGAACAAAGAACATGGTGAAGAAGTAGACCATGGCCTCCATGTGAAACTGCCTCTTGGCTGCAATGCTGACGGTGGGGAGGAAGGCCAGGCTGCTAACGGTGGGCAGGAGCAACTTGGCAGCTAAAGAGCCCATTGGGAGGAGAGCAGCTCCTACCCCGAGGGCTGCCCGAGAGACTGAGAAGCCAAAGCCAGGCCCTGGGTGTGCTTGGGAGAGAAGGCAGCTGGCACCAAGGTCTCTTCTTTGGTGGAGAACAACAGCTGCGGGGAGCTCACCAGCTGCTCCTGTTCTTGGGTTCCACTTGAACAAATGGCCCCTTCCTTCTCCCAGGCGGAGGCTTCCCTGTGGAGCCAGCTGTCTTTGGAGCAGCTCCTGAGAAGGGCAAATGGGAGGAGGAGGAGGAGATGGAGATGTTGTTGTCCCCAAAACTGGGCTCTTGGTATCGAAGCCGATAAGTCACCGGACACAAGTCATCAGTACAAAATTATGCTTTTATTTTGGTACCAAGATATAAGGACCCTGGCTCAAAAGCTAACCAAAGGGCCTTGATGAGAATCTTAGAGCAATTTTTATAGTCAAAGGATGGTTGCATAAAACCTTTGCCCTTCCCCTAACAATGCATTCATAACAAATAACATTGATTGGTTATTTGGATCTCAGTGCCCGCCCCCCCCAGCTAAATGTCACGTCACCTGCTTTTCGCCCCAGGTCATGGGTATCTTGCAGTGTCCTAGTTTCATGTGCCAGCTATGTGGTTTTTGCGGTTGTTTTTATAAGCAAGCTATTCTTTTTTAAAAAAAATTTTTTTTTATTTTAACAATAATACAACATAGACATACCACATAAAACATAAAAATATCATCCTTCTTCATAAATTTACAAACAGTGCATCGGTTGGTTTACCACTTTTCTTTTGTGCATCCATTTCCTAGTCACTAATATATTACATAATAGCTCATATTATCAATCAATAATTGTATAACCTAATATCACTAAAAAAATCATTCATCAAAATTATATTTTGTTAATTCATATTTTAATGAGATAACTATAGTTTACTTAGTTTATTTTGCAATAAATCATAAGATCATACCAAATCTATCTTGATAATGTTTTATAAAGATAATATCAAAAGAAAAAGAAAAAAAAATTCATGCTAAATCTGAATATTCTATTATTATGTTTTATTATCTAACCATTGATAAAAAAGATCCCAAACTTCATAAAATTGTTTATCTTCTTGTTCTCTAATTTCAAATGTCAATTTACTCATTTCAGCACAATCCAATATTTTCTTAATAATTTCTTCCTCTGATGGAGTTTTCTTACTCTTCCAGTTTTTAGCAAATACAATCCTAGCCGCTGTTAATATAT